GCAATGAAGGGCAAGAAGCCGTCCTTCATGGTGATCCGCTTCCCTGGCCGCCGTGGCTACGGCCGCCTGCGGCCACGCGCCCGGTCAGTCAGCAAGGCGTCCACCGCCATCAACTGGCTCACCAAGAAGTTCCTCCTCAAAAAGGCCGAGGAGTCGGGCAGCGAGCGGGCCACGGCGGATGCCTGGCTGCAGCGCTCGGGCTCCCGCGTGGGCTCCCGCAAGCTGCCCTTCCCGTCGGGTGCCGAGATCCTGCGGCCCGGGGGCCGGCTCCGGAGGTTCCCCCGCAGCCGCAGCATCTACGCGTCGGGCGAGCCCCTGGGCTTCCTGCCCTTCGAGGACGAGGCCCCGTTCCATCACTCGGGCTCCCGCAAGTCGCTGTATGGGCTCGAGGGCTTCCAGGATCTGGGCGAGTATTATGACTACCACCGCGACGGCGACGACTACTACGACCGGCAGTCGCTGCACCGCTACGAGGAGCAGGAGCCCTACGTGGCGGGCCTCGGCCCCTACAGCCCGGCATGGCCACCCTACGGTGACCACTACTATGGGTACCCCCCCGAGGACCCCTACGACTACTGCCACCCGGACTATTACGCTGGCCCCTTTGATCCGGGGTACACCTATGGTTACGGCTACGGCTACGGCTACGACGATTATGAACCCCCGTATGCGCCCCCGTCGGGGTACTCGTCCCCTTACAGCTACCACGGTGAGTACGAGGGCGAGGCGCACCCACACGGCTACTACCTGGATCCCTACGCGCCCTACGACGCGCCATACCCGCCCTATGACCTCCCGTACCACACTCGCTACGACGTACCCTACTTTGATCCCTACGGGGTCCCCTACACCGTCCCCTATGCCGAAGGTGTCTACGGCGGTGGGGACGAGGCCATCTACCCCCCTGAGGTGCCTTATTTTTACCCGGAGGAGTCGGCCTCGGCCCTTGTGTACCCCTGGGTACCACCGCCCATCCCGTCGCCCCACAATCCGTATGCCCACCCCATGGATGACATCGCCGAGCTGGAGGAGCCTGAGGACGCGGGTGGGGAGCGTCAGGGCACCTCCTTCCGCCTGCCCAGCGCCGCCTTCTTCGAGCAGCAAGGCATGGACAAGCCCGCCAGGTCCAAGCTGTCCCTCATCCGCAAGTTCCGCCTCTTCCCGCGGCCCCAGGTGAAGCTGTTTGGGAAGGAGAAGCTGGAGGTGCCCCTGCCACCCTCTCTGGACATTCCGCTGCCCTTGGGAGATGCGGACGAAGAGGAGGATGAGGAAGAGCTGCCCC